TGATGCTGTCTTACGACCACCTGGAACGGGAGACAGCAGCCTTTCGCAAGCGTTGCGCTCAGGCAAGCTACGCAAGGATCCAGGCGGCCATCAAACGTACCAGTAGACTTTCTTTGCGTTGCAGAGTTCGCTTGTGGAGAGCAGTGGTGTGGACCACGCTGTGCTACGGAATCGATTGCACAGGTCTGGACATTGTGGGACGTCGTCAATTGTACGCCACGGCAGTCAGACACTTGAGGGCCATTGCCAATTCGCCGTCCCACATAAGCAAGGAAACCACCTCAGACCTTCTACTTAGGTTGGAACTGCCGCACCCAATGGCTATGCTACTCGATAAGACAAAGGCCAGACATGACCGCACTTGCCAATCACAGGTCTTTACATTGCAACCTCCGGGTCTGACACAGGTCTGGGATTCCGTTCTGGTCTCGTTGGAAGTGCCAGGCAGGCAGACCCCTGCTACAACACATTCAGCTGCAGTGGTAGAACCGCCAGCTGCCTTGAACAACACGATGCAGGCAGCAGAAGGCTCACCTGAGCCCGAGGCCGAGATTTGCATGAAGAACTTAACTGCAGCACCGATCTCTACTCCCGCTGAGGCTATGATTACTGTGGAGACGCCTCCCCCGGCTCCAACCGAAACTGGTGCCCATGTTGATCTGGTGTGCCCTGTCTGTGAATATCAAGCTGCTGACACCACGGCCTTGAGGTACCACATGACCTCGATACACGGCCTTTCTGAGAGGGAGCTTGCCATGGCCACAGCTGCACCGTTCAAGTTCGAAGAACATTCGTACGCGGGCATGCCCACTTGCAAACATTGTCGTAAGTCCTTCTCTGGCATACCTCAGTTTCGTAAACATATAGAGGCCCAGGCATGCCCTGTACTGCACGGATACACGAACAATAGCAGGGATTACGGACAGCTTCCGCCGCTCCCGAAAGAAGCGAGCACAGAAAGCACTCCACTTAGGGACAGGCCGAGCACGCTTCAAAATCTCAGCGAGGGGGGCTGGCTGCAATTGGCTCAATCCCCAGGATTTCGGGAAGTCGCACTGGCACACTGCCCGCTTTGTCACCTTTGGGTTGCCAACAGTAGCGGTCAAGTTAAGAAGCATATGCGCACAAAACATGGGGACCAACAGGACTTGATTCAAGAGGTCATTGAAGTCTGTCGTAAGTCGTCTTACTTTATCCAATCCCCGTGCCAGTTGTGTGGCATTGCTTGGAAGGGGGCACGAATCCGCCACCGCGAAGCCTGCGCTGTGCTATTTGCTGCGCGGCTACTGGCTGCTCACCACGGCTATGTTTTCCGAGATGAACATGGATCCCGAGCCATCACCTCTGATGGAGTTCGAGTCGGTGTTCAACCAACCGCTGCCGAGCCCATTCCCGTCCTTCCACCACCCGCCGCCGATCCATCCAATGCCGCCAAAGCGAAGCGGGGCCCCGCTCAACCAAAGTCGAGGCCAAAAGTCGCAGCATCAAGGCAAGGGTCAGGGCGGACAATGGGGCAAGGGACAAAACAAGGGCAAAGGCAAGGGCAAGAACCAACAGCCTTGGCCGTCGACTCAGAATCACACTTGGCAAATGCAGCAGACCCCATGGACTCATCCTTCGAGCTACCAGGGCTATCAGGGCTACCAGGGATACTCAGAGATGTATGTGACGCCACAGGAGATCCAGCTGCTCAGGCAGCTGTTGGTGCGGCACGAATGGGAGTTGGCAGCCCTTCGCGTGGATCGGGGATTTGTCCTCCACATGCGATCGGGTCCCGACGGTATCCTGAGGGAGGTGTTTCAAGCGAGCCGTCTCTGGAACGAGGCCAAGACGCAAGGCACCCTTCAGAACCTCACATTGCGCCAAGCATTGCTCATGAAAGTGTTTACCGTCCTGAAGGACCGCGTGGAGCACTTAAACGAAGGCCACATAGCTACGGCCCGCAAGCACGGATGGCTCAGCCGAGACAGCATGCAGTGGCAATATCTGAAGTGGTCGCAGACTCAAGAATGCCTTATTCCGGAGGATCCGATCCGCCAGGTCCCACACGCCTCACTGGTTCAGCACATCACCTCGATCCTCCAGGCCCTGAACATGGACCACATGATTCACCGCTTCGCGGCGACCCGGAAACTGACCGAGAATGTCGAGAACACGATGCCCTTCCTGTTGCAGATCTCGCTTCAAGGGCAGACGGCACACCAGCTATTCCAAGCTCTTCAGGACTTGTGCGGAGCAGGATGCCTTCAGCTCATCGGCATGACAATGCGTCGCGAGCGCCTGGAGTTGCAGCCGCTAGCAAAAAAGATGAACTGGTGAGCCTGACGGGGCAGGGTGTAGGAGGAAGCTCCTCCTCGGCGGACTCGGGCGGGCGCTACACTCAGTTTGAAGCTGATGCTACGCGATCCAAAATTAGAGCATGGAAACTCCTTAATCAAGGTCGCAATAGCTGTTATGCCAACACCTTACTTTCGAGCCTTGTGTGGAGTGAAACCTTCCTCGGATGCCAGCTCTTCGAAGGTCCTCTTGGATCCTCTTTGCGATCCCTGGTTCAGGCTGGCCGAACTGTTGACATTTGGTCCGTGCTTCCGTGGATTAATGCAACCCGCTCCTGGCGGGCACCTAGGCAACAGCATGACATTGCAGAGTTCCTACTTTACATGCGTCCTCAGCTCAATGCATCTTTGATCGATGGTTCGTGGGGGGCTGCGGGGTCCGCGCCTCGTCGTGGCTTGGAGGTTGTGGATGATGGCCACACGTGGCCTATGCTGCTCGCAAACAGGCCCGCCTCAGCCGCTGATGATCCCACACCGTGTTCGGAGTGCTGCTTGCAAGACTTGCTATCGTGCTGGCATCAACAGGCGGAACCACAGGCTCTCCTGAAGCCGCCAAAGTTTTGTGCGATTCAAGTGGGCCGTTTTGACAGCACGAATGATGGAGCTTGCATTAAGACCGACTTCAAGCTTTGCCTGGAGCCCTTAGTGCACATTCCTGCTTTTCGCGACAATCTACAAGATGTGTACTTCGTTAAGTACTTTGTGAGAGCTTGTGCAGTTCATCACGGTCCTACACCCGACAGCGGTCACTATCGCTCAATTTTGATGCCACCGAATGGCGTGCTTGCGCAGTCCTTCTACACTGATGATAACGCCACGGCTCGCAAAGTAAAGTCCTCGGAGCTTGTGGGGATCCAGCAAAACGCATATATCATTTTCTTGCAACGCGCCGACTGAAAACCAGTCACGCTTTTTGCTTAGTTGTGGAGTTGCTGTTACACAAACGTTGCTTCTCCTTTAGTCTTCACTCGTCAAACTAGTTGTACAGTCTTAGTTGTCGGACCTGCTTGGCTGTACGCAGCGGGGTCCTTAGCCTTTGGGAAGATCCAACAATGATCTGCAGCCCAGTAGCTGCCGCGGCATTAGAGTAATACACTCTGATACCGATGCCCTTCGCTTAATCGCTCTCGAGCGATTGCGCATCAAAGTCAAAAAAAAGCTACTTGCAGGATAAGGTCGAGAACGGCGAGATCCTTGTTACACACGTCCCGGGGACGGACAACGTCGCCGACTTGCAAACAAAGAACTTGAGTGTCGCGCAAACTTGGTATCACATAGGACAGTTGTGTCTTGAGGAACGTCTCACCCGCAGTGACTATCTTCGAGGTGATGCGCCCCCAGTCCGTTGCCTTGTGTTTGCCGCGTTCAAAGGTTTGTTTTCTGCAAGCGTCGATGATCCTTGGAGTGTGTTGGTTGGTCGTTGTAGGTTGCAGACACCGCATTACATTGTGATGGTCGAGTTCTGCACTTCTGGAGAAGCCTGGTTGACTAAGCTTGCTAGCCATTATGGCATCCATGCTATTCCCGTGACGGAAGAAACGGATGGTACTCTCCCAGAGACCATCGAGCTCATTGAGCACGCCCTTCGTGCGGCACACCGTCGGAACATGCATGTTGTTGTGTGGGCCTCGACGCCCTGTACCGGTGGTTCGCCCTGGCAGCGCTACCACCAAGCTCGATCTGCAGATCACTATGATGAAAGGATGAAAGGACTTTTCACAGTCCACCGAAAGCTCTGGAAGAGCTTCTTGAAGCTAGTCAACACATCTGATTCGGCAACTTGGGTCATTGAATGGCCGCAACGTTGTGCTTACTGGGGATGGTCCGCTACGAAGTCATTCCTTAAGATCAATCCGCATGAGACCGCTCTTGTGCATGGTTGTGCTTGCGGCATGGTTGGAATGGACGCACTTCCTGTGAAGAAGGTTTGGAGGTTGTGCTCGAACAGTCATGTTCTCATTCACTGCATGGATAAATTAAAGTGTCCTGGAAACCACGAACACAGTAAGATGTTCGTTCTGAAGAACACCCAGCACTACCCCGAAGCTTTTGCTCACACAGCTCTTAGGGCTTTGAGTGCTTGGTAGGTGCTGACGCCTCTTTGAGTTCACTCTTTTTCCTCGGGTCAGCCTCGTACTTTCAAGTTTGTCTCGGCAAATGTGACTTCCTGGAGACCTGAACTTAGGCAGTGGCTGGTCTTTCACCAGTTTGATGTGGCCTTGATTCAGGAGCACCACCTTTCGGAGAGGGCCTTTCATGCTGAAACGGTGGCCCTCGCCAAGGCAGGCTACCATGTCCATGGCCAGCATTCCCCTGTTCGCAAGCGGGAGATTGGGGGTGTGATGGTGTGTGTTAAGTCGCATTTGCAGGCCAGACACGTTCACACCTTTCAGGATCCTGAAACGGGCTGTGGTTTCGTAGCTGTCGCTATTCGGGTGACGGGTTTCGACTTAGCCCTCTTGTCGCTGTATCTTGAGTCAGGCAGCACTTTTGAAGGCCGGGCCAATACCTTGGTCCTGTCCAATATGTATGCAGTGATTGCCTCGCTCAAGTGCCCGTGGTGCGTGGTTGGAGACTGGAACCTAGATTCTAGACCTAGATGCTTGTGAGGTCCTCGCCACCAGGCTTGAGGACCTCACAAAGGGTCGGTTACTTGGTACTGGGATGCCTACTGCAGGCACCGCAGCCGAGCTGGACTATGCACTGGTCCACCCCCGGTTGGCCTCGCATCTTTCGCTTGAGCTTGCCTGGGATGTTCCCTTTAAGCCCCATGCGGCGCTTAAGTGCACCCTTCCTCTTAAGTCTTTGCAGGACCTCCAGCCAAATTTGCGCTCCATCACTGACTCCTTTGACCCTATTCTTGATGACCAGCGCAATTTGCAACCCCCGGTTGTGTCACCGCAGAGGGTCACCCTCCTGGAAATCGAGGCTTGTGACCCCGCCTCCCTCGCCTTTGCGGAGTTTTCTGCCACCGCTGAGGCCTCAGGTTTACTCGGTAGGACCATGGGCAGGGGGGTAAACTTGCCGACGATTCGTCAGCCGGCCGTGTCGCAACCCCCCAATGACTACCAGTGGTTTGGTCACGAGCACTCTGTCTGGTCCCAGCTCGCAGGCCGGTTCAAGGCTGGGGGGCCGCCCAATGAAACCCTTTCCCTGCTCTCCAAGCTCGGCCCTGAGCATCATCAATGGGCAGACGAAGCCCGGGACACTGTTTCAAATCATCGTGACCTCGCGGCCCTGAGGTCCCATGCTGAGGCGCAGGCCAAGCTTGCTAAGACCGCTCAGCAGGGAGCGCAGGCGGAGTCATATCAACAATGGCTGTTTGGAGCCCTGTCGGCTGGCATGGGGCCGGTGTATCGTGCTCTTAAAAGCCACGAACAGACTCTCGCCCGGCCCTTTCGGGACCAGTCGGCCCTTGCCCGGGCTTACTGTCGCATGGAGTTCTGGAGCCGCATCTGGGATGCGTCAATTGTGCCGCCGCAGCCTCACCTGTCTGCAGAGCGCCTCGCCTTAAGGGCTGAGGCCCTGCAGCAGGCGCAGGATCTGTCACCGCTATCTTGGGAGCAGGTCAAGACAGCGAGCCTGGCCACGGGCAACAAGAAGGGAGGCCTTGATGGTTGGTCGTACAAGGCTCTGCGTAACCTCCCTGACTTCTGCTACCGACAGCTTGCGGGGCTCTTTCGTCTTGCTGAGACGGACCTTACTTTGCCGCTTCAAATGCTTACGGTGCAGGTCGCCCTTCTTGCAAAAACCCCAGAAAAAGAGCGCCCCATATCTCTCACATCGGTCCTTTGGCGAGTGTACAGCAAGCTGCGACGCCCGCTCCTGGAGAGCTGGTTAAAGGAGTACGCGGCCTTTGCCCCTTTCGACTCCGCCACCCCAGGACACACTTCCCTTGACCCAGCACTTTCTCGCTTGATCAAGGCAGAAGATCATAAGTTTCGCAAAGTTACTTTCATAACTTTGTTCGTTGATCTTGAAGGTTTCTATGATGGGGTAGATTTTTCTCGACTGATATCACAGGGCAAAGCTTTGTCATTTCCACCCTTGCTTTTGGAACTTAGTCTTCAGCTTTACAATGGGCCTCGTTGTCTCCATGGCGAGGGGGTCAGCACTGTTGCTTTGTGGCCCCAGAGGGGCATCCTTCAGGGGTGCCCGTACGCACCCACGGTTGCAAAACTCACCACTCATGCTCCGCTGCAGGGCATCTCCCAGCACCGTGGGGTCAGCCATGCTGATTTATGGCTTGATGACATCAGTGTCGATGTGTCTCATGCTGACCCGGAGGTTGCGGCCTCTTTGGCCCTGTCGGCCTCCAGGAAATTGGAGGCCCTGCTTTCCGTTGAGAAGCTTCGCATTAACAAAACCAAAACCAAGTTTGTTGTCAATAGTGCCAAGGCGGCCAAAGCACTCAACAGTATGCGTGTTGAAGGCGATCCTCAGGTTGCTGACTTGGTCCGGGACCTTGGACTTGACTCGGCAGGTGCCAAGCGCAGAAGGGTTACGCATGCTTTGAAACGCTTCAAGGTCGGCCGCGCCCGAAACCAGAAACTTCACCAACTTGGCACAGGCTGCAAAGCCCACAGGTTGTATGCCACTTCCATTCTTACGGCCGAGATCTATGGTTGCCAGGGACAGGGCTTGTCCCCCAAAAGGCTCAAGGTCGTTCGCGCATCCATCTCCAGGCATGTTGGGCGGTCCAAGTGGGGCTCTGTCGACGTGTCTCTGGACTGTATGTCCTTTCGTTGCCAAGACCCATTGTTGACAGTTGTCCTTGCGCAGGCTGATGCTTTGTATAAAATGTTCGGCCCCTCCACGGCACAAGGCTGGGAAATCCTAGCCCGCACCTGGAAGGTGGCCTGGACTCGCCAAGAGGCGGCCGTGCATGGATGGAAGTGTGTTGCAGGCCCGGTTGCTGCTATGGTGCAGTATTGTATTGATTTGCGCATCAATGTCAGTGATCCTCTGCGCTGGGTTCATAGCAGCGGGGTTCTTCTGCTTGATGTCACCAACCCTGGCCTTTTCCTGTCAGTTCGCCGCTTTCTCACTCAGGTTGTTGCCCTTGAAAGGGCTTCCCGCTTTGGTGCAGTCCTCACGGCCCAAGGTGCCCAGCAAGGAGTTGACTGGTCAGTCCACCGAAAGCTCTTGAAGGTTTCCAAGCTTTCATCCCCGCGATGGGCCTTTCACGCCGTGTGGCAAGGACGCACCTTGCACGCTGGGAACGGGGGGTTTTCGCATTGCGCATGCGGGGCTGAGAATACCCTGCACCATGTCTACTATGAGTGCCCGCTTGCGCCTGCTAAGTTAAGCCCGGCCCTCCGTAGTTTTCAGCGCAAACACCCAGACCCCTGCTTCTGGCTACGAGGAATGGTCCCAAAGGCTTGGACGACCCCGCAGGTCTCGGCCTCAGCTTTGGAAACCAGGGTGACAGGGCTGTTTTGTCATCAGCCGGTTGATGTCACTGGGCTCCTCATAGGTACTGATGCTAGCGGAGGTCCCAATACCCACGACCCTCGCCTTAGGGCTGTAGGGTGGTCGGTCGTGCTTTGCGAACTCCGCGCTGATGGCCTTATTGAGCACGGGACCATCTCAGGCCTTCTTCCGCCGGGCAGCACGGTGCCTAGGGGGAGTCCCTCGCAATCATTGAAGCCCTCAAGGCCACCACTGGCAGCTTTGACCTCACAGGTGATTGCAAGCCGGCTCTCAAAGCCCTGGCTGCCAGAGCTCTCAACAAAAAACATATCCCTGAATGGGGTCCAGTCTGGCAGGAGCGAGCAAGGGCTCAACCGCACTGGGTTAGGAGCCACTGCACGGCTGAGGCCTTTGAGGCTGAATTCCCTGGTCAGCTTTGGCGCCGCGAGCTCAATGCCAAAGCAGACACTCTCGCAGGGAGCCGAGCTGCTGCTGCATGCACCCCGCATTTTGTACGCAAAGTAAAGGAACTCGACCTGGTAACCCGGGAACTCAACTGTTTTCTCGCCTCCAGGGCTGAGAAGCTGATCAAGGAAAAAGCCCAGGGTTTTGTTCCCCGCTCCGCTAGAGATTCCTTAAGCCAGTTTGACAAGCCTCGGTCGCAAGCTGCAGCTGTGTCTGCAAGCACTAAAGTTCCGCCGCCTAACAAAAAACAGCGCCTGAAGCAGTTGATGGACTCCCCTGATCCAGCACTTGGTCATGATTGGAAAGCCCGCGAGACTAAGGCCGCCAACAACTTCTCGGTTTATTGCGAAAAATGCAATTTATATATTGAACAATGTCATTCGCTTGATGTTTTCAATCGCAAAATTACACACCCGTGCCGTGGTGTTGCTGCAGCTGTGCCGCCCAGTTGGAAAATACACCCCAGCCATGACATGCATAATCGAGGATCTCACTTTTTGTGTGCCAAGTGTTTGGCCTGCATAAAACTTGGCGCGGTCTCGCCCTCGTCCCTTCTTCAGTCTGCATGTAAAGGCTTAGGGCGTAAAGTAAACAGTGGCACCAAGGCTTGCGCCTTGGCACAGGTTGGTGGAGTCTCCACCCGATCTATTGCCAGTGCTTTTCAATCTGCCAGCACCTTCGGTGCCGGCGACCCAAACCCAAAACAAAACCGAAGGCTGACCCAACACAGCGCACCCTTCGTTTTTAGGCCCAAGGCCTGCTAAGCATGGCGCCCAAGCAAGAAGGGCGGCACATATCCACGCAACTCCGCCGTGAGGAGCGGGGACTATCATGGAAATCAGCGGCGACGATTGACCGACAGCGGGGACGTAAGAAAGCCCGCAAACAGAAGAAGCGCCGCGAACAATATGAGCACGCTGGCAGGAGAACTGAGGAGGCTTGGCCGCCCCCACCACCTCCACCAGGACCTCGTGCGGAGGCGAGACATCGTGAAGCTGAAGAGCTGCCGTACGACTTGGAGGAGCCCTCGCCTTCAGGGCTGAGGGCTCCCTCCACTGCGGCTGCTTCCAGCAGCCAGGGCCCAGCACGGGAGGAGCCCTCGCCTTTAGGGCTGAGGGCTCCACCCCCTACTGCTGCTGCATCCAGCAGCCAAGGCTTACCTTTGCAACGACTTCCAGAAGCTGAAGAGCCACCGGTGGACCAGGACGACTCCAGCAACTGTCTTCAATCTGACAGCAGTGAGACACCACAGCCTGCAGTCGCGCTGAAAGATCGCCCAAGTGACTTTGGCCCTCTTCTTCATGAGGATGGCCTAATCACTTTCTTATGTGCAGCTGCGCCCCAGGTGAAGCATCCGGTGAACCACTACCAGTGCCTTCCGGAAAGCCTTGAAGTTTACCATGACTTTGTCACTGGTGGGCGAACAAAAGCTGCTCGAGCGAGACGGCTGGGGTTCGGAAAGTCCCGGACAGTTTACGTTGACCCTGGCTCCTCGGAACACGTTCTAAAGTTGGCGCCTCCACAAGGTCACGGGCCAGAACCGGAAGCTTGGAGACGGCTCCCTCATATAGTGCCGTGCACTTTGGATGCGGGTATTCACCTGCTCACGCTTTCTTGGAAGAGCTGCTATGATATCATCTCCACGCATGTTTTGAGGCAGTCTAGGCTCACTCCACTTTCGGTGTGGAGGCCAGCTCCGCCGGACCTTGATATGGTCCGCTACATGATGGCACTGACTGCGGAGGCCTCCCGTTTCTACAATCTCAAGGATCTTGGCTTTTTCAACTTTGGTGTTGATGCCCGTGGCTTCATTATGATGTGGGACACCGCAGACTGGCTTCCATGGGAGGGTCAAAGGGCACACTGGCCGAACAGACAGCGTGCCTCGGCTTTCTGGAGCGCGGTCAAGAGGAGTGTTCCAGACCACTTTCAGGAGCTACTCCAGCTTGTCAGCAACGCCTCGCCTGAGGAGGTGCTGCAACGGCTACGACCACTCCTTACGCAGCACTACAAGTGGTGCCTGCTACAGCAGGGAGTTTTCCTTGGTGACTAGCCTACTAGGTGAGTCAAGCTGCCCTGGCCGTCGAGTGGAAGGCCGCCTGAACTTTTGCTTTTCACTGCCTCCTGGGCCCTCGCCTTAGGGCTGAGGGCCCGAGGCTGTGGAAGGGTGCAGCTCAGCCTGGGCACTGACCTGGACCAAAGGTCCCGCAGCAGGCCGTGACAGCCTTGTTGCTCTGCAAAATGGTTTTCAAGCACTGTACTTCAGCATCGTTTTGCTTCGTAGCCTGCCTGCTTCCGCTTCTCCGTGCTCTGGCAGGCTTGCGGTGCCCAGGAGCCCCGTTTTCTGCAGGATCCTCGGTCCGGTCAGCCCGAGTGTCCAGCCTTTGCTTTGAGCCTTTGCTTGAGAGCTAGTTGGCAGGTGATCAATCTCTTCAGGTGTCTTTAAGGAGCAGGAGATCTGACAGCAGGAACACGAAAGCTTTTGCCGCTTCGCTGTTTCGTACAGGACCACGCCTCGCCAGCTGGGCTGAGGCTTGCGGTGCCCAGGAGCCCCGTTTTCTGACCACGCCTCGCCAGCTGGGCTGAGGCTCGTACTCTTGAAGCTTGTGCAGGGCCAGTACAGGGTACGTGTAGTCAACAGGGGGGGGGGGGCCTTCCGTGCAAGAGTGTGCAGTGTGTGCAGGTGTGTACCCTGCTGCCCATCCCTCTGTTTGCACTGCAACAGTGTAAACCTGCTTGACACACCTGTTTTGCAGCTACTTTGGTTTGCAGCTGCACGGTCTCCTTTCTTCTTGGCCGCCAACTGAGCTAAGTGAGTTAGTTATGAAGGTCGCTCAACCGCTACCTCGCCCAATGGGGCCTGAGGTTACTTGAGCCAGACACCTTCCTGTACAGTCTTCCGATTTTGAATAGGGCTTTGAGGCTACTGGTTGTACTGGAGCCTTCAAGGCGTACTCGCTTAGCCCTGGCTTTGCTACAGCCAGTTTTAATTAATGCATGCTTCAGGGTTTCTTCGGACAGGCCTCTGGCCGTGGACTTCTCGCGCCACCGGAATGATTTTCAATCCTTGGCTCAAGTCTGGCTCGAGCCCTGCTTTCAGAGGTGGGTGTTCTGCGTAGGGAGCGTAGCTGTTTTCAACTGAGCCTCTGGGCCTTAACTGTCGTTGGGGCAACAGGACTCAAACAGGAATCCCAGCTTATCCTTTCGCGAGCCATACTTGTGCAGTGCTGGCATTTTGCCAGTCACTTTCCAGCGTGCAGGTGCCGGCCCTCGCCTCCAGGGCTGAGGGCTGTTCACTCGCCTCAGGGGCTGAGAGAACAGTCATGGCAGGAGGTAGGTACTATGTGTGCAAAACCTGTGGTCCTGCAAGCTGGATTTATGCCTCTAAAGTGCAGAAGTTTGCGAAGTGCAGTTGGTGTGGCAAGCCTTGGCCCGCTGATGTACCGCAGGCACCTTGGAGAGAACCTAGCAGGCCGCGACCTCGAACTCGGCAGCCGAAGCCAGCTAAGCTAGCAAGCTGCCTTCAGAAGGTGTGGTCCACCTTGCCTGCAGATGTGTGTTTGCAGTTTGAGCAGGCTGGCTTTAAAGTGCCGGCCCCAAAGCAGGAAGATGTTGACCTACTCAGCCTTTTGCAGCGCAACCGTGATGATCTCCCCCAGGAAGTCCTGGATGCTCTGCCAGCAGCACCGGTCCCTAACCCAGTGCAGGAAGGCAAGGCTGCAGGTGTTGAGTGGCGCAACTCCGTCGGTAAGTTGCGCGACCTTGGCCAGCGTAAGTTGAAGCTGCAAGAAGACATTGACCTGGCCAAGGCCAATCTGAGGGCCCTGCTGACAAAGATGCAGGACTTGCAAGCTTCCATCCAGGAAGCACAGACTGAGGTCAACAAAGCCACTCAGGATTATGAAGCTAAGGTTCTCACACAGTGCGCAGAAGAGGCCAGTCATGGAGTAGATTCTGTGTTGCAGGCCCTGGGTATCGAGGAGGACACCCTCACTGAGGCCCAAAAGCGCAGTATCGCTGCTCTGAAGAAGGACAATGCTGATGAGGCCAAGCGCCGCAAGACCGAGCAGCAGGATCGTTTCCCGCCTGGATTGCTCCCGAAGTCTACGGCACCCCCGGCCGCCGAACCCCAGCAAAACGCCGCAGACGCTAAGGACTTGAACAGCCAGTCCGGCAAGGCGCGCAGTCGCTCGCCCAAGCGCGGTGACAAGGGTGACGAGCTTTAGGATCCAGGTGGGGGGTTGCGCGGGGGCCCCGGGTTTTGTCTTCCGGTTCTTTCTCTGAGTGAGGTTTTGCGTGATCTGGAAGTTTCGGAGCCAAGCGCAAGCCCTGACGCGTCAAACACCTTTTTCAAGTGCTGGCACTGTGGCCTCCCTTTCGTGCCAAATGCCGTGGGAGTTCAGTTTTGCATTTGCAGTGCCGAAATCCATGTCAATTACGCATCAAAACATGCTCAGGCCAGCATTTGCAGTGCTGACGTGGGCCTGGCCGTAGCCTCACCACCGGGTTCGAGGCTCGGATCTCCCTTGCAAGACCAGCCAGCCCAGCTCGAGGATGGGTTTGTTTTCCCCAGGACTGTGTCCCGTCCCTTTTGGCCATCCCCTAGCTGTGCCCTGACTGGCCCCAAGTTTTTCCATCCCGCCATGTTTCATTCGCCGGAGGAGGGCGCCTCTTCGGAACCTAAGGTTGTGAAGAAACCATTGGTCAGGGGACCGATCATGTCTTTCTTGGAAGAGCATGGTTCCCGCTTTGACCATGCTGCGCCAACCCCACAGGATGCTGAACCTTTTCCTGGCCCACAAGGCTCACCGTCCCCTGCAGTGTGCAAGGTTGGGAAGAGCCTTGGTCGGTCAGGCTGGGGCTCTCTTCTCAACCTGAGTGCATATAAAGCCCTCGAAGGGCTTGAGGAGCAGAGCCAGGAGGGCACCCTTGAATACTGGACTCTTTTCAGGTCCCTGGAGGCCACCGAGGCCCGTGATAATAGCCTTGAAACCTGGGCTCGCATCGCCAGAGCTTCGGAGGACCTGGTGCACTCCACTTCCAGAGGCCGGGCCCGTACCTTTACTTTCGTTTCGGCCAATGTGACCTCCTGGAGACCAGAGCTCAGGCAGTGGTTGGTTTCACTGCAGTGTGACGTAGCCCTGATTCAGGAGCACCACCTCTCTGAAAAGGCCTTTCATGCTGAATCGGTTGCCCTAGCTAAGGCAGGCTATCATTTGCATGGCCAGCATTCTCCCGCCCGTAAGCGCGAAATTGGAGGTGTGATGGTCTGTGTCAAGGCTCATTTGCAAGCCAGGCACGTTCATACCTTTCAAGATCCTGAAACGGGCTGTGGCTTTGTTGCGATTGCTGTCCGGGTGACCGGCTTCGACTTAGCCCTCATCTCTTTGTATCTCGAGTCAGGTAGTTCCTTCGAAGGCCGGACCAACACAGTGGTCCTTTCCCATCTGTATGGCGTGCTGGCCTCGCTCAAATGCCCCTGGTGTGTGGTGGGGGACTGGAACATAGATTCCTGTGAGGTCCTCGCCACCAGGCTTGAGGACCTCACCAGGGGCCGGCTCCTTGGAACAGGAATGCCTACGGCTGGCACCGCAGCAGAGCTAGATTATGCACTGGTCCACCCGCGACTAGCCTCACATGTCTCGCTTGAGCTTGTTTGGGATGTCCCTTTCAAACCGCACGCCGCTCTGATGTGTACCCTTCCCCTCAAGCCGCTGCAGGACCTGCAACCAAACCTGAGGACCCTGGCTGACTCCTTTGACCCCATCACAGATGACCAGCGCCTTTTGACACCGACGGTTGTCTCCCCGCAGCAGGTCGTTTTGCTTGAGATTGAAGCAAGTGACCCCGTGTCTCTTGCGTTTGCGGAGTTCTCTGCCACAGCTGAGGCGTCTGGTCTGTTGGGAAAGACTACAGGCAGGGGGGTTCACCTGCCCACGGTCCGCCAGCCGGCAGTGTCACAGCCAGCCCAGGATTACCAGTGGTTTGGGCAAGAACACGCGGTCTGGACTCAGCTTGCGACTAGGTTCAAGGCCGGGGGTCCTAGCCAGGTAGTCTTGCTGCTGCTTTCCAATCTTGCTCCCGAGCATAAGCAGTGGGTAACGGAAGTTGAGGCTGCCGTTTCTAACCAACGTGATCTCACGATCTTTGTCTCGCGAGCTGAGACGCAAGCCAAAGCTGCCATGCAAGCCCAGCAAAAGGAACAGCCAATTCTTATCAAGCTTGGCTGTCGGGGGCTCTGTCGGCAGGTATGGGGCCAGTGTACCGAGCTCTTAAAAGCCATGAGCAAACTCTTGCTCGGCCCTTTAGAGATCAGTCAGCTCTGGCCCGTGCCTATTGTCGCATGGAATTCTGGAGCCACATTTGGGATGCGACAATTGTTCCCCCTCAAGTCCAATTTTCTGCAGAGCGCCTCGCCTTGAGGGCTGAGGCCTCGCAGCAGGCGCAGGATCTGTCACCGCTATCTTGGGAGCAGGTCAAGACTGCGTGCCTGGCCACGGGCAACAAGAAGGGAGGCCTTGATGGTTGGTCGTACAAGGCTCTGCGTAACCTCCCTGACTTCTGCTACCGACAGCTTGCGGGGCTCTTTCGTCTTGCTGAGACGGACCTTACTTTGCCGCTTCAAATGCTTACGGTGCAGGTCGCCCTTCTTGCAAAAACCCCAGAAAAAGAGCGCCCCATATCTCTCACATCGGTCCTTTGGCGAGTGTACAGCAAGCTGCGACGCCCGCTCCTGGAGAGCTGGTTAAAGGAGTACGCGGCCTTTGCCCCTTTCGACTCCGCCACCCCAGGACACACTTCCCTTGACCCAGCACTTTCTCGCTTGATCAAGGCAGAAGATCATAAATTTCGCAAAGTTACTTTCATAACTTTGTTCGTTGATCTTGAAGGTTTCTATGATGGGGTAGATTTTTCTCGACTGATATCACAGGGCAAAGCTTTGTCATTTCCACCCTTGCTTTTGGAACTTAGTCTTCAGCTTTACAATGGGCCTCGTTGTCTCCATGGCGAGGGGGTCAGCACTGTTGCTTTGTGGCCCCAGAGGGGCATCCTTCAGGGGTGCCCGTACGCACCCACGGTTGCAAAACTCACCACTCATGCTCCGCTGCAGGGCATCTCCCAGCACCGTGGGGTCAGCCATGCTGATTTATGGCTTGATGACATCAGTGTCGATGTGTCTCATGCTGACCCGGAGGTTGCGGCCTCTTTGGCCCTGTCGGCCTCCAGGAAATTGGAGGCCCTGCTTTCCGTTGAGAAGCTTCGCATTAACAAAACCAAAACCAAGTTTGTTGTCAATAGTGCCAAGGCGGCCAAAGCACTCAACAGTATGCGTGTTGAAGGCGATCCTCAGGTTGCTGACTTGGTCCGGGACCTTGGACTTGACTCGGCAGGTGCCAAGCGCAGAAGGGTTACGCATGCTTTGAAACGCTTCAAGGTTGGCCGCGCCCGAAACCAGAAACTTCACCAACTTGGCACAGGCTGCAAAGCCCACAGGTTGTATGCCACTTCCATTCTTACGGCCGAGATCTATGGTTGCCAGGGACAGGGCTTGTCCCCCAAAAGGCTCAAGGTCGTTCGCGCATCCATCTCCAGGCATGTCGGGCGGTCCAAGTGGGGCTCTGTCGACGTGTCTCTGGACTGTATGTCCTTTCGTTGCCAAGACCCATTGTTGACAGTTGTCCTTGCGCAGGCTGATGCTTTGTATAAAATGTTCGGCCCCTCCACGGCACAAGGCTGGGAAATCCTAGCCCGCACCTGGAAGGTGGCCTGGACTCGCCAAGAGGCGGCCGTGCATGGATGGAAGTGTGTTGCAGGCCCGGTTGCTGCTATGGTGCAGTATTGTATTGATTTGCGCATCAATGTCAGTGATCCTCTGCGCTGGGTTCATAGCAGCGGGGTTCTTCTGCTTGATGTCACCAACCCTGGCCTTTTCCTGTCAGTTCGCCGCTTTCTCACTCAGGTTGTTGCCCTTGAAAGGGCTTCTCGCTTTGGTGCAGTCCTCACGGCCCAAGGTGCCCAGCAAGGAGTTGACTGGTCAGTCCACCGAAAGCTCTTGAAGGTTTCCAAGCTTTCATCCCCGCGATGGGCCTTTCACGCCGTGTGGCAAGGACGCACCTTGCACGCTGGGAACGGGGGGTTTTCGCATTGCGCATGCGGGGCTGAGAATACCCTGCACCATGTCTACTATGAGTGCCGGCTTGCGCCTGCTAAGTTAAGCCCGGCCCTCCGTAGTTTTCAGCGCAAACACCCAGACCCCTGCTTCTGGCTACGAGGAATGGTCCCAAAGGCTTGGACGACCCCGCAGGTCTCGGCCTCAGCTTTGGAAACCAGGGTGACAGGGCTGTTTTGTCATCAGCCGGTTGATGTCACTGGGCTCCTCATAGGTACTGATGCTAGCGGAGGTCCCAATACCCACGACCCTCGCCTTAGGGCTGTAGGGTGGTCGGTCGTGCTTTGCGAACTCCGCGCTGATGGCCTTATTGAGCACGGGACCATCTCAGGCCTTCTTCCGCCGGGCAGCACGGTGCCTCAGGGGGAGTCCCTCGCAATCATTGAAGCCCTCAAGGCCACCACTGGCAGCTTTGACCTCACAGGTGATTGCAAGCCGGCTCTCAAAGCCCTGGCTGCCAGAGCTCTCAACAAAAAACATATCCCTGAATGGGGTCCAGTCTGGCAGGAGCGAGCAAGGGCTCAACCGCACTGGGTTAGGAGCCACTGCACGGCTGAGGCCTTTGAGGCTGAATTCCCTGGTCAGCTTTGGCGCCGCGAGCTCAATGCCAAAGCAGACACTCTCGCAGGGAGCCGAGCTGCTGCTGCATGCACCCCGCATTTTGTACGCAAAGTAAAGGAACTCGACCTGGTAACCCGGGAACTCAACTGTTTTCTCGCCTCCAGGGCTGAGAAGCTACATGATGGCACTGACTGCGGAGGCCTCCCGTTTCTACAATCTCAAGGATCTTGGCTTTTTCAACTTTGGTGTTGATGCCCGTGGCTTCATTATGATGTGGGACACCGCAGACTGGCTTCCATGGGAGGGTCAAAGGGCACACTGGCCGAACAGACAGCGTGCCTCGGCTTTCTGGAGCGCGGTCAAGAGGAGTGTTCCAGACCACTTTCAGGAGCTACTCCAGCTTGTCAGCAACGCCTCGCCTGAGGAGGTGCTGCAACGGCTACGACCACTCCTTACGCAGCACTACAAGTGGTGCCTGCTACAGCAGGGAGTTTTCCTTGGTGACTAGCCTACTAGGTGAGTCAAGCTGCCCTGGCCGTCGAGTGGAAGGCCGCCTGAACTTTTGCTTTTCACTGCCTCCTGGGCCCTCGCCTTAGGGCTGAGGGCCCGAGGCTGTGGCAGGGTGCAGCTCAGCCTGGGCACTGACCTGGACCAAAGGTCCCGCAGCAGGCCGTGACAGCCTTGTTGCTCTGCAAAATGGTTTTCAAGCACTGTACTACAGCATCGCCTTTGCTTCGTAGCCTGCCTGCTTCCGCTTCTCCGTGCTCTGGCAGGCTTGCGGTGCCCAGGAGCCCCGTTTTCTGCAGGATCCTCGGTCCGGTCAGCCCGAGTGTCCAGCCTTTGCTTTGAGCCTTTGCTTTGAGAGCTAGTTGGCAGGTGATCAATCTCTTCAGGTGTGTCTTTAAGGAGCAAGAGATCTGACAGCAGGAACACGAAAGCTTTTGCCGCTTCGCTGTTTCGTACAGGACCACGCCTCGCCAGCTGGGCTGAGGCTTGCGGTGCCCAGGAGCCCCGTTTTCTGACCACGCCTCGCCAGCTGGGCTGAGGCTCGTACTCTTGAAGCTTGTGCAGGGCCAGTACAGGGTACGTGTAGTAAACAGGGGGGGGGGGGCCTTCCGTGCAAGAGTGTGCAGTGTGTGCAGGTGTGTACCCTGCTGCCCATCCCTCTGTTTGCACTGCAACAGTGTAAACCTGCTTGACACACCTGTTTTGCAGCTACTTTGGTTTGCAGCTGCACTGTCTCCTTTCTTCTTGGCCGCCAACTGAGCTAAGTGAGTTAGTTATGAAGGTCGCTCAACCGCTACCTCGCCCAATGGGGCCTGAGGTTACTTGAGCCAGACACCTTCCTGTGCAGTCTTCCGATTTTGAATAGGGCTTTGAGGCTACTGGTTGTACTGGAGCCTTCAAGGCGTACTCGCTTAGCCCTGGCTTTGCTACAGCCAGTTTTAATTAATGCATGCTTCAGGGTTTCTTCGGACAGGCCTCTGGCCGTGGACTTCTCGCGCCACCGGAATGATTTTCAATCCGAGGGTAACTTTTTCCCACTTCCTCTTCACCTCCCGGAGCACGAAGTCTCTATGAGGGAACTCCTGGCAAGTTGGCAACAAGGTGGAGAAGTGAAAATCCTCACTCACCCGCCTTTGATTGCATTGCAGCTTTTGAGGTTTGTTGGGGACGGGGGGGTTTTCGGAGGCTCGAGAACCCAGTTGGTTTTGAGGATCCTTGTGTGCTTGAGGGATTGGATGGGGAACTTCTTCGTTACTACCCCAAGGCCGTGGTCTCGCATTTTGGCAACTCCCCGACCTCTGGACATTATCGTACATTACTTCTCCCCTCCAAGCTTATAACTGATGATGGGGTAGGTGCTGTTTGCGCCAAGCCTGCAGATGTAGCCTGGTCTAAGTGCTACTCGTACCTGGTTTTGCTAACCCTCCATGTCTGAGCCTTCTCGCAAGATGGGTAAAGGAAAAGGGAAGAACAAGCCAGGGAAGGGGCAGAATGCCCCTTTCGAGGACCCGGTAACGGAACAGCGGTACCAGGCCCTCTTGCAGCATCGTTTTAGTGAGGGCAAACCTGCTATTTCGAGATCAAGGTACTCCAGGCAAAGCCAGCATTCAGGTACCGACCGGGAACCTCCGCTTCTGGTCCCAACTTGTCAAGGTCGGTGGAGGCCCCTATCACGAGGCCAAAAGCCGCACCCAAGACGGGGGTAGCCCGAACCCCACCACCACCACCGCCAAAGCGGCAACGCACAGAGGCCCAGGCTGAGGAGGCCTCGCCAAGAGCCTCCGGTTCCAATCTGCAGGCTGAGGTGCCCTCGTCTTCCAATGCTAATGAACCATGCCTAGCCTCCACAACCCAGGTTGAGCAGGTCTCGCCTGCACCAACCTCTCCTTTGGGGCCTGAGCAGGATGAGGTGCTGACCTCTCCTAAGCAGGAACCTGCCCAGAGTTCTCAGACTGAGGTTCCTTCACCGGCAACCAAGCCGGATACCGATGCTGGTGATCCAGGCCCGGCCGCCACAACCCAGGTTGAGAAGGTCTCGCCTGAACCGGCCTCTCCCTTGGAGCCTGAGCAGGAAGAGGTACTGACCTCTCCTAAGCAGGAGCCCGCCCAAAGCTCCCAGGTTGAGGTTACCTCACCGGCGCCCAAGCCGGATACAGAATGCCCGGCTTCCAAAACACAGGTTGAGAAGATCTCACCTGAGCCAGCCTCTTCTTTGGTGCCTGAGCAGGTTGAGGAACCCTCACCTCACCCAGATCCTGTCCCCAGTGCCCAGGTTGAGGCAAACTCACCGGCCACCACCGAAGCTCCATCCCCAGCGCAATCCCATTCAGGCCCAGATCCGGGAATCAAGGGCGAGGACATCAGAGGGGAACCAGATCCGGAGGTTCCCTTGGAGCTTCTTTTCAAGCAGCCCCTGAAGATCCCGAGATCCCTCCGAGGCGTGTCCCTAAACAAAAAAGGCACGTCTGGCACGCCTTGGACTACTTACACTCCGGCGGAGCTGGAGGACGAGCTTGGAGGGGTATGGGCCGTATTGGGGGTAGGTGGCAGTCGTGTCACCTTGGAGCCCCCGGCTCAATGGGGACTTGGAGCCGAAGTTCAAGTCCTCAAGCTGGGGCTCGCCGAGGCCATGGACCAGGAGCAGATTTTTCTGGAGGGATTATCCAGAGATTTCACCTTTATTCCTCGACCGGGGTCCTCTGGTGAAGTCCTGCTCACCTTGTCAGAGAATGGCCATGGCCGGGGGTTTTCCCTTCGTGCCCGCGCGGTTTTCTACAGGCGGGTCATCCCTGTGGCTTCTCCGCAGGGAAGGCTTAGGACACTTGATGTCCCGGACCTCCTGGCCTTGTTAAGTGTGTTCGCGTTTTTGTGTGCCTGCCATATCCGCTTGTCGGATCTTGGGGAGCACAACGTAGGTTGGGCCCTCCCGACCTTGGCGCGCGCACGCGCCGAGAACATGGCGCTCCAAAGTGCAAAGCTGCGCTCGGCCGACTACGTGCAGGTTTGTTTGTACGACGGGGGCCGCTGGAGAGAAGCGCAGCACAAGCACTGGCCTGGAAAGGCGGCAACCAAGGGGCTCCTTGGCCTATGTGCCAAACATGAAAGGTTTGGGCCATGGGTGGAAGAACAAATCCATCTCTATGGCTCCCCCGAGGTTTTGGCCAAGGTCTTCCTCCACCGCCTCCAGGACTTCCCGCACCACTTCGAGGGTTTAAAGTACTCGGGGTTCTTAACCTACCTCCCTTTGTGCTACAGGGTTGGTATGGTCATTCCCCTGAGCAACCCTTGGAGCAATCCGGATGATACAACCTGGCAGCTCGTTCCGATCCCAAGTTTGGACACCCCAACAAGTTGAGAAACCCCTTGAAGGGTCTTAAGGTGAGGTGACTCCCTTAAGCTTGCAAGCCGCTCCAGGGTGAGGAGACTCCCCTTTCCAGCTTTAATTCAACGAGCCAATTTGGTCACAAGCCTAAGTCTGCTCAAGGTGAGGTTACTCCCTTGCTCTACAAGCCAACAACGTGAGGAGACTCCGTGGACTTGGAGAAGCTACAAGGTTGAGATACCTCCCTTGCACCCTTTTGTTGCCGCCTAGCTCAAAGTGAGGAGACTCCTTGGAAGGTAGGCTGAGGGCAACCGCAGTAGGCAGGTGAGCTCGACCAGTCTGTGCCGAGGGTGCTGTTTAAGGACATCACCTGATGTCAGACTGGTCTAGAGAAACTCGCCGCTCCCAAAGTGGACTAGGCTCAGAACTCAGGGTGAGGTGACTCCCCTCAAACTTCGTCTCACCCTGACTCGAACTGGGCTCAGCCCAGCGGACCGACCGCTCGAGCGTGATTTTCAATCCTATAATGGTGCCCCTGTGTCTCGCCAAGGTCAGGAACACTTTCTGTTTTCTCCTTAGTGAGTTTTAGAGAACCTTAGGTGTAGCTGTGAACGGTAGGAGTAGGGAAAAGTTGTCTGTCTGTCGGTCGCTGCGCTCACGCTTCCTGTCTCACCTTGCGGTGAAAGTGATCAGTGTCAGAAGCGTGTCCAACCGGAGTTTTCCTCACGAGTTTTCACGAAGAACGGTGTTTCCCTGAAGCATGATGAACATCAGAGTGTTTTCAGTTTGTTTGCTGTGAGAACGGACTTCTAGACGAAGTCCGGGGAGCACCTGGGCCATAGAACAGAGTTACCAGTGCAGAGAAGCCGTTAGGAGTCCTTAGGACTTACCGCGGAAGTGAGTGTGCTGAAGTCTCTGTCTGCGCCCCGTTTCACTTTGGCTCAAGCCTTGCACTGCGTGACAAGCGCGTGGTGAACAGTTGGTTGCGAAGAAAGGTGTAAAAGTGCTGTTAGCTTTCACTGCTGTAGCCTTGTGTGGCGTAGTCAGTCAGTCGGCTTGCACCTCCTTTTACTAAACCTAGAAGTGTGCCTCAAGGCGCGTTTGGGTTTTAACGGAACCCAAGGTTCCGGAATGCTCCGAAGAACCATCAATCGTAAATTGGAAACTCTTCACGCCTTTGAAACCACCAAAACCGCAAATCAACTTCAAATCCAGAGCGAAACTTAACAGACGCACAAAGGCATCCTTTAGCAGTGTTCGCTTTCAAAACTCAATGGAAGACTGCACTTTGCAGCACTCTGCCAAGACGACCACAGGTTGCTTTTTGGAGTTTGGAACTTTAGATTCTATTTGGACCTACTTTGACCCTCATCTTAAGGCAGACTTGGATTGAGTCGGTTTTTCGCTAGCTCTTGTTCGCAACCATTGAAGCTTTTGCTGCTGACGCTTTCCGGAATCTCCATGCAGCTCAATGCATCCTCCATGCAACGGACAGGGCAGTCGTGTTTCCGGCAAGCAGAAAAACAGAGAAGCGAATGAAGTTCCTATTTGACTTTTGCTTTCCGCTTTGTAGCTTCGTAACGACTTCGTCGACTTTTCTGTTGCGTGGTGGAGCTGTTCTGAACTGAACATTTTCTGCCAGTGCAGTCAACGCCACGTAGCAGCTATTCTCAGATGGAACAAGTGCAGTTGGTAGAGGTGGAGAGCTTTCCAAACAGTCCGCTTGTGAACTCATTTTGTTGTTCTTGCTGGACATTCCATTTCACTTTTTTGCTTTTGCTTTTTGTGCTCACAGAACGACACAGGCTGTGCTTAGCTGCGCAGCAGCGTTTCAGTGTTGCGTGGAATCGTCTAATTTTGCATGAATGGCTGTTGCTAACTGAATCAAATTGCCGCACTTCCTTTGTTTTTGACTTCCGTAAGCTTCGTACACTTGTTTTATTAGTGTTTTGTGTGTTTGTTGGTGTGTTGTTTCTCTGGAGACTGAGAACTGCGGCAGTCGACGCCCGCAAACCACACGCGGAGCATCATGTCGGGTAGCAATCGCATTGCCTGGTTTCTTGCTTGTGGTCGAATGCCGTTACTTGAAAGACACGACGCATCATGTAACATTATCTCGGAGTCGGACCTCCTTGGCGTAGAACACAAGAATGCCAGATGTTCGGGTCACACGTGAGTGAGATTTTCTTGGCTTGTGTCGCACAATCGTTTCGGTGTGCCGCCTATGGTTTTTGTAGATTTGGAACCTGTGCCTGCGGCTGACGATGGACACACAAAACAATGAAACAAAAAAATCAATGCTGTCACAACCGCATCAATTAAAACAGGTTTGATGATGCCGCAGCCATTTGCATGTTCAAGTTTGGGATGATTTGTTTCCGTTTCATTTGATAGCTAACGAAAACCAATAACTTTGGACGAAGCAAACAGAGCTTGGAGGTTGAGGATGTTTACATGTGACCAACGGAAAACGGTTGATTGACTGATCCATGCACGTGTCCATCCCGATGTGCTTGCGGAATCCCTGCTGATAGACGACAGTCTGCAGCGGGTTGCAGGCTGGCGTGCTGCATTGCAGAAGAGGTGAGTATGTTTTGGCACGTGCAAGGAACTGTTTCATCATGCATCGTTACATGTCTTTATTGAGTTGGTTGTTCAACGTCATAAAAGGGTTCGTGTTACATTGCATAGTGGTCCTATCATATGGATTCGCCAGGTGTGAGAGTGTTTGGTGTTCCTGCCATTGATGTTTGCAATCAGAAGAAGGACGTCAGTGCCACTGGTGTTTTTTCGTTCGAACAGGCGCCACTGGCCGCCATGGCGAAGAGGAAGAACAAAGTCAAGCGAAATCCGAAGGGCAGCTCAGCTAGTTTATGGTTTGTAAAATTCCGCTTGTTGCATCAGGTCAAGAACTTTCGTGGCGGGTACATCATCTATATCAAGCGTTTGCAAAGCTTTCTATACCGAGGGCATGGTCTTCGTCTAAGGTGGCATCAAGAAGGGTGACAAGATTCACGGGCAAAAGAAGGGAAAGAAAGGTGAAGCTGCCGCCTATGTGACAAGAGCACAGGCAGGACGGGTACGCCAGGTGCTGGGATGTTCGGCAATTACTAGGGCTTGGATGTTGGAGTCATGGGTGTGCATTTTGGCAGGACGCCGTCATGGAGTATGTGTTGCGAGTCAGAGTTGCTTTCCAACTGATCCTATGCGAATCGAGGCTCTGGCGAAGTTGCAAATTCCGCTGGCGGACTTCCGAAAGCTTTGCATTCTGAAGGCAGAACATTTGAATTTCATGCAGTTTTTGATTCATGCATGGCTGCAGACTCTTGAGCCCTAGATCACCCACAAATGCACTTGAGGGTGATCATCCTTCCATGCCTGCTTGTTGCTCATCATCAGGCTCACAGCCACCAGGGCCGTCTGAGCCACATCGAACCCTGTCCAGGGAATTTATCCGCGGGATCCCAAGAAGAAGGCCCATGGCAACGACAAGACGTACTACCATCAGAAAGACATTGCCTTTTTGAGGCATGAGCAAGGCACTCAGACTTTTCCTTTCGAGCCCCTCCGGATTTTTGCAGGCCTCAAGTGTGGGAAGTCTGAGGCCATTGCTCAGCAAGTTCTTCGAACTGAAGACTTTCATGAAGAAGTGTTCTTCTCAGATGAATCCGCCGTTGGCATTGGCTTGCTACGGTGGCTTTGTCGTGAGGTTCAAGCGGCTGATGGGTCGACGAGAAATAAAAACTGCCAGGCGCTTCGAGGAGCCATCAAACAGAATGCCGTCTTCGTTTAGCTTGGTCATTTCAGGATGAATAGCCCGAGAGAGTTTCATACACTTCGAGCTGCAAGCACTGAAAATCATGGAAGCATGCTTCATCCCTGCCAGTTAAAGACTGGCAACCGGAATTCCCTTTATCTAGACAGACATATCGCAATTGAAGACCAGACATCGGGACGGGAGCCAGACGAAAGCGCTGTTAAGCCGCGACGGAATCAAGTTCTTCATGTTGTGATTTTTAACCTTTTCCTTAGCGATGCCGGCAAGGCGGCCAGTGCAATGTTCCCACGAACAAGTGCGCTGGTGGGTAAATCAGCGCATTGCATGATTCATTGATGCTGACATCGCAACGGCTCGGATGCGTTAACATGCTTAGCTGGCTTCGATTGATGCCCATACCACCGGAGCATGCAAGTGCCAGGAGAGAAAGCCAAAGTACACGCTTCATCATCTTGTGCGGGAAAGGCCTGTGTGTGGTGTTGCTACGCTGCTTCAGTGGTATCGGTCGTCGGTCGACAGCGGGAGCTTCTTCGTACGGCCCAGACTTTGTGAAGTCCTCTGACGTGACATGCTCTTTGTGAGGACTTGCCCTTTTGTGCAGGTATCCATCCTTTGATGACGCTGTCCGTGATTTGGACGATGCTGCGAAGCTCTCGGATGTTCAGCCAGTAGCTTTAACTTGTGGCTGGGTTCTGTTTACAACAAGGTGAGTATGCTGGCTCTGTTCCAGTCGCTCTCCGCTGATCAGGCCAGCTGAAATCGTTCGATCTCAGACAAGACATTGATCCGCCTTTCCAAGTGCACTGCTTGGCCCAATATTGGGTAACGTGCTGGCTTGGAACTCGACGTGCAAGCCGCAGCGTGCTAGAGCGATAGCATCGCAAAGCGAAAGGCAAGCAGCATCCAGCTACGGATGAAGATGCTGAATTTCCGTCTTGATGCATCAACATCCGTCCGTATCTGCTGCCAGTGTTCACAGATCACAGGATGAGACAGGGCATGGGTTTTCTTTCGGCTCCCGATGAGACACTGACGAAAGATGCAAGTTTGCCAGCGCAGGCCAAGGACATTCCGGTCGAGGCAATTACCGAAGCAACGCAGCTGTATCAGGAGCTATTGGCTGGTGTCACTCGTTCATTCGGACGGCCAGAGTATCTTGGTGCCTTCCCTGTTCAGGAATTCCAGCTGTACGTCATTCGTGCACAGGCCTGCCACGCCAAGCTCAATCCGAGCAGCAAAGGGTTCGGAGAAGATGCTTTGGGAGTCAGCATTGGGAATTGTAGTGCGAGATTCTCGGAGTCAGAAGTGCTAGCTGCTAGCCCAGCAGGCCAAGCGTGTGTTGGTATAGTTTCCCAAAGCTGCCAACTTCAATAATTGCCGAGACGGGGTGCCGGCTTTTCCTGTACCCTTGCGGTTGTCGCACGGAATCGCGCTCCAGTAGACCAGCACTCAAACTCTCCACCCCGCCGTGCGCAAATCTGGGTCTACGGTCGGTTGTTTGGGCTCGTGGATGCTCGTGGTGTGGTTCCTTGTTGTCCAATCTCTTGAGGAGGGTCTCTGCTGCTGTCGATAGGACTTGTTTACGTCATGCTTCCGCGCAGACAGTCCATGCGGATCCGTGTGACTTTCGCTCGAACGCCTAGATAAGCATCGGCTTCTTCTGTCTCTATGAAAGGCTGGCTTTCGTTGTTTGACCCCGGGGAGACTTAGTCATAGTCTTTGTCAGGGCTTGGTGCTTTTGTCTGTTGCAGGACATCTTCTAATTTTTCTCGGTTCAGGCTTCTGTGTTACCAACAGTTGCCATCAATTTGCCGATGGGGTGTGCAGCTGTTGCTGATTTCACTTCAAAGGCCAATCTGAACAAGGCCTGTAAGTGGGATTGGTAACCTTGGAGCAGAACTGTCAGCTCAATCGCACCTACAAACTGCTGGGTTGCTCCGACACAAACGTCCAGCACACGATGCGCTCACAGCACGAGGCAAGGCCGAGTTGTTGCTGGATGGGCAACTGTCAGCTGCGTATCTAGATGGTGTCCTTCGGACAGCGGCATGCAAAGAAGGGACATGTCAAGAACTCAAGCTTATGGCAGATCGGAGACGGACTGCACAGAGTCCCAATTGCAGCACAACCAGTCGTTGAGTGAGGATTAATTACACGAATACGTTTCCCCGCATCGAAGTTTGCTGTTTAAATATGGTTACAACACTTGGCCACCACCACTGGAGTTTGCAAGCAACTTGCCACATATGTCCGAAAGCTTTTAGCCGCAGGCTGTTTCACTGTTTCACCGAAAGCATGAAGTCGGTCTTTTCTGGTTAAATCATTGGTTCAGGTATGCACCGCATAAGCTGAGCTGAACTGTGGATGCCGGCAGAAAGCAGACACCACAAGGAGGCAGTACTCTGAGTATTGACCGTTATGGTTGAGTAGTGTGCTTGTGTATTGACCACTTGCAGCTAGGCAGGCTTTGCAGATGCCACTCGCGCTTAGTACTGCCTACGAAGAATGGAGTCTGTGTCTGAACGCCTTGCGTAGTTAGTTCGTGGTTCACAACAACAGAACAGAGTCTACATATTGCTTCTGGCGCATGCTTTCCTGCCGTGGTGGTGAGCGTGACTTGTTGAAGATGTCTGCTGCGTTTTTTGAGATTGGATCTTGCCGTATGGCCTTTAGAGCCAGGCATTACGAATAAGATTACACGAGTGTACTTGGGTATGTTGCCAGGCCCTGCGGAAAGTTTTCGCATCAATCAAGGGCTACTACTTCCAGGCCGTGGCATGACGATCTGTCGACGGCTGTTGTCTGAAATGCCATCTTGGTGAAGTACATTGGCAGAAGGTGTCGGATGTAGAGGTAGATTACTTGTATGTTGCAGGGTCCGTGTTTCAATGAAGCCTGTGCCATGGCCGAAGCTCGACCACCCCACCCCTGTTCCCCTGGACCAGCATGAAAGGCAGTAGGATTGAACAACAAGTTTTGCTTTGCCGAGTAGATTGCGAAAGATCCGTGCTCGAGCACGAGGGACACCAAGAGCAAGCGCCGGTCGTGTGGTTGGAATCATGGAGCGCAGCTTATGCAGAAGGGCGTCCTGCGGGAGTTGCGCCAAACAACAAGTTGGGGCGAAACAACCTGAAGCTAAGTCGTTTTTCTTCTTCAGCTAGTCAGTTTTCACATGCAACACAGACGCCATGCTGCGCTTAGTGATATGCTTCCCCAGCGCGCTTGCGGTCAGCTTAAACATGCCGGGACACGATGTCGCCTTTGCCTCGTTTGGTAGGCAGACATCCTTGGCCATTCGGTGACGTGGCTGGCCCCGCATCAGTTTGCACAGGCAGGAGGATGAGTTGCTGTGTTTTGGAGGGAGTCTTGTGGGAGTCTTTAGACTCTCACGGGTGCTGAGGAGCTTCCGGCTGAGGTCCCCCACTCATCGTCTTCCTGCGTGTTTGTGTTTTGCTTGCAGAGATTCTCTGAGGTCGATTTTCGCGTCATGTTAACCTTCCTCGAATTTTACCGTGCCATGGTCAAGCCGGATCCCAAGATCACTGAAGACGGATTCGTCTTGTTGTGATTCATGTCTGCAGGTTTGTCAACTTCCGGCTGTATGGCGATCTTGGTCTCACATATCCGCCGAGGCCGGTGCAGGGTATGGACAGGCCTCAGCTAGCTACACGCTTCCGTTCGCTGACTAGGCGGGATGCTGAGCTTGAGCGCACCTCAGCTGACGTGGCTGCCCTGGAGACGGAGATGAGGGAGGCCGTGATATGTGTTCTATAGTCAGCCTCGAGGTTGCCACCAAAGCACTTGTTTACTTCCGCTCGCGGCCAGCATTGCAGAGTGTCCTAATCGCAACAACAACATTGTTGGTGATGCATTTGTTGCGTGTTCCTACGAGTACGAATGGGGATTGGGGTATGTATGTGCGTGTACACGTTTTTGTTTATGAACATGTGCATTTGTACGTGTACATGTATGTGTACGCATGTGTATGCATATGCAGCACGGGCACGGGCCCGGGCACGTGCATGCGCATGTGCGCGTATTTATCTATGTGTCTTTGCATGTATGTATCTTTGTGTGTATGTACGTATGTTTGTCTGTCTGTCTGTCTGTCTATATGTGTATATGTATATATAGAGTCCGGGGGGCTGTGGGAGTGCACCTTTTTCCACAAAATCTAAGTATCGCATTGTCGAGCCATCTAATGAACCACCTGCGAGAATAGGATACAGGCAGACGCACACATACTTAAACGAGCATTCATTCAACTTTTTTTACACACATGTATACCAAGGCATGAGTATACAACTGACATTCTTTCTTTCTCGTTCGCAAGCTGTTATATCGTTGCCACGGAAGCTCAAACAGTCTTTCTTGGTTTTCTCGTTTCGTATCTCTGAAGCCATGTCGGAGTTTCGTGGTGATCATATACCAGGTTTGCTTCGTGAACTTGGAGGGCGGGATGGCGCACTTACATTCGATGAGGCTATCATGCGCATAGATATGTATGAAGAATAAAGATATACGGATAAATGTATATACATATGTCTATATATATATAATAAATATCCATATACAAATACGGATATATATATATATATATATATATGTGTATATACCCTCATATGTATGTGTGACATTGTGCATAATAGAGAGCTCGGCATATGTATAAGTATATATATATATATATATGAATATATATATATATATACATATTATACTGTGCCTTACATTAATCGACAAATGTCGACTTTTCACTATTCATACATAGTTACATGCACATATCTGGGTGTGGAGCATGCTTCTAGATGTAGTACAAACTTCTGATCTATAAATGATATTTTATATGATTATATTCCTATTATTATCACCAACCATGCCTTTTGCATTAATACTCTTATCAATACATTTTAAGATAATAACCGAATATTCAATCCAAATATAGACAACAATAGCACTAGATATACGAAACTTTTCAATACACACCAAACCGAAATTCTATAGATTACCAGCAACAATTGCGTTGTAAAGTGGCACATACATGTATTTATCATATTTTAATTATAGTCATATTCAGAAGAATAATCGGAATATTAAAAGCATATTGGGTTACCAGCAACAAATGCGTTGTAAAGTGGCACATACATGTATTTAGCATATTCCATTTATAGTCATATTCAGAATAATCGAAATATAGTCATTTATAGTCATATTCAGAAGAATAATCGAAATATAGAAAGCATATTGATATGTGGACAAGCTAAACATATAAATCAATGAACAAATCCTCTAACACGAACGAAATATAATTTAACATACAAGCATAATATGTTCTTTAAGCTTATAAAGTTGTTGGCCAATACAATATATAGATATGCACCCATTTAGGAAAGCCTACGTCTTCCAAATAATTGACGTCATATAGAGATTTGCATACAATAAGATAACATATAATCAAGATTATGAAAATCGACAATAACGAACCAGTATCGTAATAACGAACATGAGATTAAAGATAAAACTTCTATTAGTATCCTATTACGATATTTAAAATTAGCAAATATTTTTCTTATACAATAACGTTATGACAAACAAATATATAATTATACAAACAAATGAAATAAGCTAGATTCACTAAATATGCCTTCAGTTTTTACTTGCGAAAGAAAACAAGGTTTCACATAGAACAATACTAGTACTTTATTTTTTGTATCAACACAGTTGACACATGCATTTCAAAAATAGGTACTCATACATATTCACGTATATATACATATACATATATATATATATAGCACACATGCATACTTACATATTTCCCACGCACAGGTATCTATACACATCCAAGTTTTCTAGTATACTAAGAAGAGCCTATGTCAGATTATAATAAGATTGAATAACTATACCAATTTACAACAACATAACCACCAGTACTATACACTTTGTTTTGTTTGAAAAATATTCACAAAAAGTATCGACGAATCGGTATCTACCTATATATTTCAGAGACCCATTTAATAGTCCTCGTATTAACACTAAAAATGGTAGTTACTGTAAAACAAGCGGAGTTCGACAGATAATTGATCGCTATATCACGCAAACCCGAGTAGCCTACAAGAATGACGAAGGCATAATTAATGAATCTAGCTTATTTCATTTGTTTGTATAATTGTTTATTTGCTTATCATAATGTTATTGTATAAGAAAAATATTTGCTAAATTTGAATATTGTCATTGGATACTAATAGAAGTTTAATCTTTAATCTCATGTTCGTTATTACGATACTGGTTCGTTATTGTCGATGTTCATAATCTTGATTTTATGTTATCTTATTGTATATAAGTCTCTATATGAAGTCAAGCAGGGATACCCAAATAGCAATCCATATAGAGCTATGTAGTGTTTGCTTGTGTGTGTACGATATGAAGTCTGCACTCAAGGTGACGTCGCTGTAGTTCTGATGCGCCTCGCATACCCACAAAGCTTCTCATCATCATGAGAACAAAAAGTGCTGATGTGCAAGTGTGGTTTTTCGCACTGCTATCTAGTCGTATACGTTGGCCATGCTACGTTATGTCCCTGGGAGTGCGCATCTGCCGTGATTTACGCGCCAGTCTTTCGAAAAAACAAAAAAAACCAAAAAAACCAAAGAAACCAAAAAAACCAATTATCAGAGACTCCTGGACTGAGGTGTCCATGGCCGGAGAGTGTCAGATCTTTGGTTTCTTTGGTTTTTTTGGTTTTTATGGTTTTTTTGGTTTTTATGGTTTTTTTGGTTTTTATGGTTTTTTTGGTGTTTATGGTTTTTTTGGTTTTTATTGTTTTTTTGGTTTTTATGGTTTTTTTGGTTTGTCTGTTTTTTTGGTTTTATGGTTTGTTGGTTTTTTTTGAAAGACGCGCGCGTAAATCACGGCAGAGGCGCACTCCCAGGGTCCCCCGTTCTGTATATATAAATATGGTACCCCCCCGAGTTGTCCATGAATTTGGTGAAAATCTTGCGTATTCTGCCCTGACCCCCTCTCCCTCACTTATCTACCAGTTTAAAAGACTACTGTTTATGTGTGTATGTGTATACTCTGAACCCTAGTAACCCTGGTATGTGTGCAGAACCAAAACAATACAACAGATGCTAGAGTACACGCTTGCGCACGTGTTTAGGGCACTGAGAGCAGTCCCGATGCATCCCGAGTTTTGAAGTTCAATCCACCCCTCAGGCCTTTTGAATTAAACAGGCCTATTGATTTCAATAATTGAAGATGCCCTGGGGAAGTTTTCTGTGAGATGTTCGATCTTCAATCTTCAACCTTAAAAGCTCATTGAATTCAATAGGCCTGCTGCACTCAATAGGGTTTGCACTGATGCACCAAAGGCTCCATTTTGCAGTCTCTTCATTTCAGGCACG